CCGGGGCAGTCCTCCTCCCCCAACCAGAAAACACTCTCTTCGTTGTAAACAAGAATCTTGGTCGAAATTCACAGAACTAACTTATCTCCTGTTCAGTCCACAGCCGCCAGGCTGACCGCCCGCGCCCACGCGGCTCGGGAGAAAGGCAGGGTCGCCCCCTGGCGGCCGTACACCTCCAAGTGTAGGCGGACAGCGGCTCGTCGCTCCCGCAGGACCCATGCGACCCCCAGCAGCGAGGACTCGGCGCCAGGCTCGCGGTGCCAACCACTCCCACTCCAAATCCGAGGGGCTTCGAACTCCATCTTTCCCTCAACGGGGAACGGTGCCCTCCCGTCTCAGGGCCTCCTCCTGACCCCTCCTCTCACTCAGGCGCCTCCCCCAGCTCAGGGTTGGGGTGGCCCTACCGTGTGGTGCACTGACGTCTATTTCCTGGCTTCCAACCAGAGGCTGATGGGAGCCATCTGTGGCTGCTCCCTCCGGGCTAGCACCCCCAGGGACACCTCGGAGGACCCAGCTCTCTCCGGGTCCCTTTCGAACACACAAGTCCAGGTCTTGGTGTGAGCCAACAAGAGGGGCCTGGATGCACAGGCACCCAGTGTCCCAGAGCAAGTGGCTTCGCCCCTGCCCAGCCCTCAGGGCCCCTGCATCAGGCCCACAGGTCTCTCCACGTGCCCCGCCTCGCTGGGGACACAGCCAGCAGAGGGCCTCCCCCTTCCCGAACCACGCAGGGCCTCAGAGGCGGCGCCACACGCCCAGCAGATGTCTGGCCTAGAGCTCCTCCCCCCGCCCCCCAAAATGGGCACCAGTCCCCACATCCACCCAGCTCACTCGCCCTGGGCCTCTGCATAAGCCAGGAGGGAGACGTCCTGACTCTGAACCCCACAGGCAGCCTCGGCCACAACGCAGACAGAAGCACCTCCAGCCTGAAGCTCGCTAATGATCTTCCCCCTTGAGGCCTCCACCCAATTCACCCGTTCCCCTCACTGCCCCGCCTGCTCAGACCCCGTCCCAGCCCCTGCGTCCACGGGGAGGGCCTGGCTGTGGCCTCTGGTCCCTTAGTTCAGAGCTCCCACTTGGGAAAGTCAGGCCCCAGTGAGGAAGAAACCAGAACATGCCTAGCCCCCAGGGACGCCTGCTTCCTTAGAAGGCTGAGCTAGGGTGAGAGAGGAGGGCCCCTGCGGTCCCCGCAGCCGGCTGGCGGCACTCACCTGCCTCCTGCAGCCCGCCTCGGGTGAGATGTCCAGCTCACGGGACCGCCTCAGGGCAGTTTCCAGCTCCGCCTTTAGGTCAATGGCGCCCTCCAAGTGCCCACCATGGGTCCCCGTGCGGGTGAACAGCTGCAAGAACGGGACGTCACTCGACGGGCCAGGTGCCCTCCCTCCCTGAAGCTGCCCCTACCCCCAAACCTGGCCTGAGCTGGGGGACATGCCTCACCTGGACCCAGGAGCACACAGCCGGCAGGAACTTGTTCTGGATGAGCCTCAGAGCGTCCTGGGCTGCCTGGATGACGGCAAAGTTGTCCTCATCCTCACGCACCTTCAGGCTGTCTGCAACACACATGCGGATCACCACGAGGACCACTACCTGGGTAGACACCTGGGCACCTCAGACAGGGCCACCATATTGCCCCACACCCCATCCGGCCACACGTTGCCCGGGACCCCAGATCTGGCCCCAGAAGGAGATTCGCTGCCTTGACCCCAGTGCCTTCTCACACATCGGGCAGACCAGGGACCCTCCCTGCACTGCTCTCAGGATGAAGGCCCCACCCGCCCCTCAGCCCCAGGTCCCCCCTCCAAGCCCCGCCATCCCAGTGATCTGCACCCGGGCCCCCCACCTCCTGCGGGCCAGCTGCGTCCCCAGCCCCCAGCCACGTGGCAGTAAGTTCCTTGGAGCTTATAGGGTTCAAGGTGCCTGAGGGAGACAGGTATTTCCACAGCTACAGAGCCCAGCTGCCCTCCAGCCCCACCCACACCCCACGGCACCAGCAAACCACAAGTGGCAAGAGGCTGTTTCTCAACCATGTTCTCCTCCAGCCACCCTTTGACCCCTCTTCCAGGGCCCCCATCACTCGGAGAGTCAGGCCCGCCATCATGGCCAGGACTGTGTCACAACGAGGGCCTTGGACACAGGACTCCCAAGCCTTGAGTCACCCCCACCCCTCCTTCACCCCTTGCCTCCCGGCCCCGAGAAGCCAGAGATCCGGAGTCAAGGAGGCATGGTGTGAGCGCAGCCTGGGTGGAGGGCAAGAGAGACATTACCTGAGGAGAGCTCCACGTCCAGCGTGTACTTGTGGGAGCCCAGCCCATGGCACCGCACGAACCCCTCCTGGTCGCTGAACTCGTCCTCGTCCTCCGAGGGCCCCTCCACACCAACAGCTCCTGGGAGGGGGGCACAGGCAGCCAGGGCCTTGCTGCAGCAGGGCTGCTCCTCATCCTCGAGGTCGTGGGGACCCTCCCTGGCCACGGCTGAGACCACAGCGGAGGCCATGGCGGGCAAGGCGGCCCCTGGGCTTGGGTCAAGGTCAAATGGCACGAGCAGCTGGAAGCAGCTCTCCACCTCCGTGAGGCAGCTGCGGATTTCCCCAGACATTTCTGGTAGGACAGAAACACTGTGAGCAGGGCCGTCAAAGGGAGGGCCCCTGGGTGACCAGCTCGAGACCGCCCACTTGGCCGCAGCAAAGCCATTCTCTGCGACATGCTGGATTAACACCTTCAGGTGCTGACCTAAGCTGTGACGGGGCTGGTGGCGCATCTGTGGACACCCAGCTAGAGGCCGCCAGGGCGGAACCAGTGGAAGGGAGTGGCCAGGGCCTCCCCCAAGCCCAAGCACACCTCTGCCGTCCCACCCTGGCCACTTCTCACCCAGGACTTCCCTGGGGTGGACCAGCTCTCCCTGCCTTGCAGCCTTCCTGAGGCTAGGCTTCGGGAAGTGCCTTCACCCAGGCCACCTCCCAAGCTGCTCACACCCTGGCTGCCCCTCACAGGAAGAACCGGCTGCCAGAGGCAAATGGTGGGGGCTTGGGAAGGAAGCTGGCAAGACCAAAGACACCATGAGACGGACCTGGAGGTTCAGACCACGGAGGGGTGCACTTCCCAAGTGTGACCGCCAGGAGCCGCAGGAGAGGCGTGGATGGCCTGCAGGGGCCCCTCCCTCCACTCCATCCCTCAAGCCCTGAGCTCTGTCCCCTACCCTCGCCAGGAACTGGCCGGATGGGAAGATGGAAGCTGGAAGCAGGCTTGCAAGCACCGCCTGGGAAGGTGTGGCAGTGGGTGGGGCACCCCTAGGCCGACCTCTCACCTTCCATCTCCCTGGCCGCCCGCTCAGATCGTTCCCTGTAGATCCGCTCCAAGCGGTGCCGTTTCTCCTCTTCTCGCTTTCTCTCTGCCAGGGTTCTGGCGTTCACATCTTGGAAATCCACCTGAGAAGTGTCGATAAAGGTTAGACCTGACGACAAAGGACCCCAAGGAAACAAGAATCAAAAAAGGGCCTCAGAAAAGACACACTAACATCTGGCCAGAAACTCTATGGATCTCGAGTTCACGTACAGTGTTTTAAAGTATAAAACTCTTAAAATTCAACTCTGGCGTTTAACCCCTGTTAAAAACACAACCAGTGGTGTTTCCTAACAAAGTAAGAGGTAAAAAAACTCTCCAGCCCCCAAGCACGCTGCGGGTGGCAAGGCGGCAAACTCACTCCAATTAGCGGGAGGGGAGGCTGCCGGCCCGCAACCACGGGCCTGAGAACTGCACCCAAGAGTGCACCCCAGAGGAGCGACGGGAAGGCAGCGCCCACAGGCCAAGAGCAGGCCAGGCAGCTGGGGGAGGGTGGCTGAAGCCGGTCCCGGGGGGGTTTCGTCCACCCAACGCCGGCCAGAGCCCTCAGTGGACCCACACAGGAAGTCACAGTGCAGCACGGCCCCCCAAGTGCAGGAGATGCAGCGAAGGGCTGCGTCTGCGCAGCGGACTCTCATCCTCCTTTTCCACCTTTTGGTGGAAATCAGGTCCCAAGGCTCAGCTCCACCCACAGGCAAAGCTGCTTCTCCAGTCCTGGGAGCCCCACCCCCAACCCCCCTGCTGGTCACTGCCAGGCCG